TTTTTTTTTTTTGGTTTCTCAAGACTAGGCGGAGGGGGGAAGGCTTCTCAGAAGGAGGCTGCTTCTCAGAAGGCGCGGGCCTGATCTACAGATGTAAGGCCAGCGCCTCCCAAGAGGCAGCTTCCTTCTAAGAAGCCTTCCCTCCTCCCCCTACGGCCCTGCCCCCTGTTGCGCGCCGCTGATCCCCCCCACCTTGGCTAGAGGAAGGAGGGGAAAAACACACACAGACACAATTAATCGTCGATCCCCCGAAACTATGGGAAAATATGGGAAGCGGGGGGGAAGACAAAAACCCAGAAAATATTGGAAAATATTGGGAATCCAGTTATTTGTGTCTACTTATTTGTGTGTCCCAGGGCCCCTTCATAGAGGAAGGATGACGAGCAGGAGGGCGTCGAGGGCTCGCGGGGAGGGGGCGTTCTGCGGGTCGGGCATTGCTAGGCTGCCCGCCCCCGATGCTTAGAGCCTGCGCCGCGCGGCCCGGCTGGACGGGCGGCCCAGACGGGACTCCTGCAGGGCGGGAGTGGGAAAAGGGAAAGGAGGAGGAGGAGGAGGAGGAGGAGGAGGAGGAGGAGGTCGCTCGCGAGGTGGGCGCCGCTGTTTGTTCCAGGGCGCGGGGGGAGGGCTTGCTTCTGTCAAATTGTCTTTGCGACGTGAGCACGGCCCGAAAATCCACTCGCGCGTTGCCAGACGTGCCCCTGGCCCACACTTGACGTCCAGGCGTTCCATTATTTGCGCGCCGGGCGTTTTCATCCGGTTTCGGATCTCGGCACCGTCGCAGATTCATCGGGCTCGACAAAGGCAACAGAGGGGTCTAAGTCCCATTCGTGACTTCTCACGACGTTGCCAGTGTTCCGCAGTGTCGCATCTCAGGGAAGATGTTCACACGATTCCCGATGAGGCACCTTCGGCCTCCAGAACACCCCTCACGAGGCCTTGAGGGCCCCATAGCGACCTCAGAATTGAGCGAAAATCCAGGGGCACCTACCAGGGAAGCGCATGAGCGGGATAACTCAGAACGGCCGCGGCGCCAGTGATGGTGTGGTCAATGATGATGATGATTATTATTATGATGATGATGATGATGATGATGATGATGATGATGATAATGATGATGATACTGAGGATGATGACGACGATGCTGATGATGACGGTGACGGTGATGATGATGATTATGATGATGATGGTTATGGTGATGTTGATGGTGATTATGATGATGATGATGATGATGATGATGATGAAGATGATGATGATGATGATGATGATGATGTTGATGATGATGATGATGATGTTCATGATGATGCCGATTGTGGTTGCTATGATTGGATTGATGACGATAATTACGATGATGGTGGTGATGCTGGCGATGGTGGTGGTGATGATGATGATGACGATCATGATGCTGCTGCTGCTGATGATGATGATGTTGATGAGGCAGTGGGTTTCAGGGATGATGATGCTGATGATGTTGATGCTGATGATGATAAGGATGATGATGATGATGATGACGATGATGATGGTGATGATGATGATGATGATGATGATGATGCTGATGCTGATGCTGATGCTGATGCTGATGATGCTGATGATGATGATGCTGCTGATGATGATGATGCTGTTGATACTGGTGCAGCTGATGATGATGCTGCTGCTGATGATGATGATGATGATGATGATGAGGATGATGATGTGACGGTGATGGTCATGGTGATGGTGGTGGTGACGACCCTGAGGATGCGGATGTTGATGACACTGGTGACGGTGACGATGATTGTGATGATCATCATCATGACAATGATGATGCCTCTGGCTCCTTCGCCTCCTCCATCCGGCGGTTGCCTCTGAGGCGGCTGCATTGCGCCGTACTTGCCCAAGGGAGCCTAAAGAGGAGCCCCAGTAACTACCTAAACGCCTCGAATAGCGCTCAGGAGCCTCTCAAGACGGCCCAGAAGACCTCGACAATCCCGGCCTGCTGGTTTCCGAGGCATCAGACGGGCCAAGAACGCCCTAAGACAGCTTGAGAAGCCCCCCAGAGGCCGCGAGGGACGACCAAGAGGTCCCCGAGAGGTCCCCAGTAGGCCCCCAAGAGGCCTCCACACGTTCAAATCATTCAAGAACTAATGGGAAAACACAGGTTCTGAAGGTCTCGCCTTTCCAGATGCCCTCCAGACTGCCGAAGGGGCTCCCGAGACGTCCCACGACGACCCCTTGAGAAATTTGAAAAGGAGTCTCCAGGGCCCCGCCCCCTGAACCCCCACTAACGCCGCCAAGAGGCTCCCTGGCGCGTGCCGTCGGTCGGATGTTCCCCGAGGCCGCTCCGGGAACATCTGGCCGACGACGACGGTGATGCTGTTGATGCTGATCCTGGTCATGATGAGGATGCGGATGATGATCATGGTGATGATGATGCTGATGATGATGGTGACGATGATGAAGATGATGTTGCTGATGATGATACTGGGTGAGACGATGACGGCGGCGACGCGCACGATTATCGTAGCGATCTTGTTGTTGCTGCTGGTGGTGATGATGATGATGACGATGCTGAGGATGCTCAGGATGCTGAGGACGATTCGGATGAGAGCCTGATCATGATGACGATGACGATGATGATGACCATGACGACAATGACGACGACGATGATGATGATGCTGACGATGAGGATGATGATAATGAGGATAATTATGATGAGGTCGGTGATGATGATGATGATGATGATGATGATGATGATGATGATGATGGTGATGCTGATGATGATGATGAGGGTGATAATGACGACTGCGATTCGGACGAGGATGGGTACGACCATGACGATGACCCGCACGATGTCGACCTCGATGGTGATGGTGCTGTTATGGTGATGATGGCGAGTGCGAGGGTAAAGGGAACGTTTATTCAGATGAGGATGACAATGATGATGAACATGCCGATGACCATGATGGTGATCGAACTGAACATGATGATGACGGCCACGGAGTCCCCTTCCCTTGGAAAGCAGTCGCCGGCGGCGCCGTGTGTGATGGTGGTGGTGGTTGTGATGATGATGGTGATGACGATGATGAAGACTACGATGATTCTAATTATGGTGCTGATGACGACGATGATGCTTATGTGATGACGACGAGGATGCCGTGGATGATGTTGATGGGGATGATGAGGACTACGATGTTGCGTCATTGACAATGATGTCGACGATCATGATCTTGACGATGAGAAGGGCTTTGATTCCTTCTGCTCTTCGATCCTGCGGCCGCACTCGTTTGTGGAACCGCCCACAGGCATGCGCTGAAATTGATCGCGCCTATATGTATGCATGTATGTATGTACGTATGTATGTATATATGTAAGTCTGTATGTATGTATGTATGTATGTAAGTATGTATGTATGTATGTATGTATGTATGCATGCATTGGTGTGTATGTATGCACATACATATGTTCATACTGTTGTTTGCATGTCTGAATGTATGAATTCACACATGATGTATGTATGTATGTATGTATGTATGTATGTATGTATGTATGAATGTATGTATGTATGTATGTATGTATAAATGGATGTTTGTATGCTTGTGTGTATCAATGCCTGTATGCATGCGTGTATGTATGTATAGCACCGCACTCACCTATTTCGGCACATCCTTCACATGGATCGTGTACTTCAGGGAGCTCCACCTACGGCTCCAGAGACAGGGTCTGCATAGCTTCACCCCGCCCATCTCGGTACACCCCTTACAGAGATCGTGCCACACAGGGAGCGCTACATAAAGGTCCAGAGGCAATATTCGCATAGCGGCACACTATTCACACGGATCGTGCCCGGCAGGTACTTGCATTTACGGCGCCATGGGGGAGCTTCGCATAGCGTTGCCCCGCTCACTTCAGCACAACTTTCACGCGGATCGTGTCCCGCAGGGAATTCCACCTACGGCTCCAGATGCGCAAGGTTCGTATCCCGCCCCCCTACCAATTTCGGCACACCTCTCACCCAGATCGTGCCTTACATGGAGCTCCACCCACGGACAGAAAGAGAGAGAGGTCGCATAGCGCCCCCCCTACCCCCCGCCCGTTCTGGCACGCACCTCACGCGGATGGTGCCCCACAGAGAGCAGCACCCGCATCCCCAGACAAGGTCCCTTTTCATTTCGGCACACATCCCTCACGCGAATCGCGCCCTGGGAGCAAGGAGGAGGCGGAGGAGTTGGATGATGATGATGATGATGATGATGATGATGATGATGATGATGATGATGATGATGATGATGATGATGATGATGATGATGATGATGATGATGACGATGAGGAGGAGGAGGAGGAGGAGGAGGAGGAGGAGGAGGAGGAGGAGGAGGAGGAGCAGTTGGAGCAGGATGAGGATGATTATGAGGACGGGGTGAGGCGGAGGGGGGGAGCGGGGGGATGAAGTTTCGTGTGCACGGGAAGCCTGGCCCCAGGGGCCCAGGCGCCGCAGCACGTCTTCACCGTCCAGCGAAGCGCGTTTGCAAAGCAGAGGAGTCGAGGAAGAGGAGGGGAAGGGGCAGGGGGGGACACGCGGCAGCCCGACACACCAGCGGCCACCGGACCGGTAGGTTCCCCCCACCCCAACTTCGGGGCACCCCCCGATCCGCCCCCCCCTGCCTCAGCCGGCCACCCTCTCCGCTGATCCCTGGACGGCCGAGTAGCAGAAGCAGTTTGTGATGCAACATCATTGGGCTTGGAGTGTGACTTCCCTTGGGTTATCGAGTTAGGGGCTGGGCAGCACGACAGAATGTCAGGCCCGACAGCGGTTGGGCTTGTTGCATGAAGTCTGCTCTGGTCCCACCGTCCTTGTACCACTAGCCACTCCATTCCATTCCATTACATTCCATTCCATTCCATTCCATTCCCCGGAGCTGCCATGGGCCCCCGGCATCCTCGACAGAAGTCCGAAGAGAGCCCAAGACGCGCGAGGGAATTGTCCCGTAGCCACTTTGCTCAAGCCCGCTGCAGGTGCAGGCCCCCCCATGCATCTCGCGCGGAGCACACCGATACCGATGACGTTCCATGCTCTGGCGGCGCTGGCGTGGCTCCCGACGCTCGCGGGCGCGCTGGCCGCGAGGGAGGCGGGCATCGCGCTCCCGCCCGAGGCCGAGCCCACAGCTCTGCCCGAGCAGGGGGCCGCGCACGAGAGGGCGACGAATCGCCTGACGGTCACGACTCAGCAGGCATACGTGGAGACTGGGCGGCTGTTGGACGGATTTGCCAGCATGAGCCACTCGAGGCACATCCTGCAGTTTGTGATGTCGCTCCCCACGGCTCCGACGCTGCCCTCAGGCGGCTGCCTGTACCTCCCCAACGACGCGACCTGGGCGCTGGCCTACCAGCACCTGGAGCTAACCAGCCTCCAACCTATCCCTATCCCTAAGATGGGCGAGCAACAAGCGATGACACTCTTGGGGGCGCGCCCTCAGAAACCGAGGGGACCCCTGAGATCGACATGGAGGTGAGGCGATGCCAAACACAGGGATAGGGATACTCCAGATTTCGTAATAAAAGGGAGGGGGTCTCATTTCGGGGGGGGTCTCTTCCAGGCTATCTTGGAGGGCCTGGGGGGGTCTGGGGACGATGTTTTGGAGGGTTCTCCCACGGGGGGGTCTGAAATGGCTTGTCTTGGAGGGTCCAGACCCCCTCCCTTTTATTACGAAATCTGGAGTACGTTTCAAGCTGGCGAGGAGCACCCGTTTCCTCCCCTCTTCGCGGAGATGATTGCCAACTCCTACTTCCCCCGCTGCAGCGAGACCTCGCTCTCTGGCCGCAGGCTCGCGCCGCTCTGCGGCCCCGGCTCCCTGCGGGGCGCCGCGGGCTGCCTCGACGCGACCGCCCTCGGCAGCGCGGCGGGCACCACGGTCTGTCAGGAGCGAAAGAAGGACGTACATGTACATGAATCCACGCTGGTTTCGAGAGCACGCATTGCACGAATGTTCGTATCACGCGGCCGGTCTCGCCAATCGAGGGGCCGTGTTCATGTACATAGCTGGGCGCGTACGTCCTTTGTGGGCTCCCCAGGTCTACGAGACCGCTGGCCACGTCGGGCTGCCGGACAAGTGGTCCTACCACATCGAGAATGCGAGGCCCCACCGGCACCCGGCTTCCACCAGGAGCGGGGAAACGCGCAAGGCCCGAGTGAGCCGGAGCTCGGGCTTGCCGGCGTGTTTTCTTGTGGCGAGCGCGTCCTGGATGTTGACGGTCCAGTGTTCGTGGGATGTCTGCAGCGGGAGCTCGCGTCTAATTTCAGATTAGGCGTCGTCATTTTTATGATGGCCCCGTCGGGCCAACCCGAGTCCCCCGTACCCGAGTCTTACGTCTCCCCGACAGGAGCAAAGGGAGCGCCACCTGGGGCAGCTGCGGCTCCTCCAACATGCAGGCCAAGGTGCCCGCAGCCGCCAGGCTCCAGGTCCCAACGAAGTACGTGGTGTGCCGGAGGGCAGACGACGACGACAGCATCACCGAGGAGGACGTGCGGGAGCAGAACAGGTGGGCCAACGAGGCCTTCGGCGGGCGCTCGCCTTGGGAGCGCATGGGCTTCGACACTGCGCGTCCGGCTTCCGTGGACATGCAGATCAGCTTCGCGCTCGTAGACATCACGATCGTGACCGATGGTGAGTGTGCCTCGAAGGGGTTCGTGAACACGGAGCTGCTGCACAAGTACAATCCGAGTCCATCGGAGCACCTCACCATCGTCATCATCACGAACGATACGTCCGGCATCTTGGGCCAGACGGCGTATCCGTTTGACGTGCCGGAGGACAGTCCGGAGAATATGGTTGTAGTGTCGAGCGTCGGGGTGCGGGGTTATGCACGAAGGTTCGACACGCCCATGCTGTACGACGAGGGGGACACGGTTGTGCACGAGATCGGGCATTGGCTTGGCCTGTACCACACCTTCGAGTCGGGCTGCTCCACCGACGAGATGGAGAACGAGGGCGATTGGGTCGATGACACGAACCCAGAGAAGTTCCCGCACTACGACTGCACGGTGGACATGTCCTGCGGCCAGGTCGACCCGGTCCACAACTTCATGGACTACTCACCGGACACGTGCATGGTGGGCTTCTCGGAGGGGCAGCAGCGCCGCGCGTGGTGCGTGTTCGAGCACGACCGGCCCACCCTCTACAAGATGTCGTTGACGCGGTAGGTCAGGCGACGTGTCTCGCCAGTGCCGCACCCTTTGAGCTCAGCACGGCGCTTGAGTATGTATCCTATGAGATCAGCATCTCTTCTCGGAGAGCCCTGCAGACTCTGAGATCAGCCTCCATTTCTTGGGTAGCGCGAGAGGACCCTTTTGCGCACCACGTGCCGAACCGTGCCGCTTGGGCATCACGGCGCGATGATGTTGTGTGAAATTCATGCCAAGACCTCGCGCGCTTTACGCGCTTGGGTTCTCAACATGGCAGACCCAATGTCCTTTTAATCGGTGGCCGGGCACACAACGCATCCATACCAATCCTCGCAGGGGAACGCGAGCGCAATCGTGTGCATAACGCATGCATATATGTGTATCCATGTCTCTACGTATATGTGCATATGTATATGTAGACATGTAGATGTGTATATATATATATATATATCTATACATACAAATACGTACGTCTCTTTTGCGCCCCCTACCTATGTCGGCACATCCTTCACATGGACTGTGCACCTGAGGGATTTCCACCAACGGCCCAGAGAAAGGGTTCGCATAGCTTCCTACCGCCTCTCTTGGCACATGCCTCACAGAGGTCGTGCCCCACAGGGAGCTCCACCTTCGGGTCCAGAGGCAATATTCACATAGCGGCACACACATCATTCGGATCGTGCCCGGCAAGTATTTGCACTTACGGCGCCAGAGGGAAGCTTCGCATAGCGTCGCCCCGCTCACTTCAGCACACCTTTCACACGGATCGTGCCCCGCAGGGAGTTCCACCTACGGCTCCAGAGGCAAGGTTCTTATCCCGCCCCCCTGCCAATGTTGGCGCACCTCTCGCCTGATTTTTGCAACGCGATGCCAAGGTCTATCGCTGTCTGTGCCCTGCCTGCCGGAACTGCCTGGCAGGCGCACCCCTGAGATGATCAAAGATGCGGGGCTCGGGGCCTCGGGGCCTGTTAGCGCCCAGGGCCAAAAGGGCTGCGGAATGCAGCATTTACATGAAGCTGGCAACAACGCTACTTTTTTTTTGCTGGATCCACCAACCATCCCCAACCTCCAACCAAAAAAGACCGCGCAGCTCAGCCGAGCAGTTTCTTGATTGGTCGCGACGTGAGTCTCCACGCCACACGCACCGATACGACAAATCTCTGCGCCCAAACGACTGCCACAAATCGTTGCTCACAGGCGATTTGACAAAGTCGTGTATGCACTTATGTATCCCCCCATGCTTCCACACGGCGTGATAAGGTAAAACTAAGCAGAATACTGTGTTCCTCGGGTCATGCCCCCCCACCCTCGCTGTAAGGGGAGGGAGGCACCCTAGGGGAGGTGAGAGGGTCTCAAGGTGATGCAACAAACATTTGGGAGCGTTGCACTGCTTCAGCCTGTCTGTGAAGATGGCACAGGCATTGTTGAGAAAGTCAGCGCTGCTGCTGCGCCTTGCTAACCTCTTCAACTCACTTACAGGCCACGACCAATTAATGCACACCGGGTGGGCTGATCGGAATGACCGGTGGATTCCCAATGACGTCTGCTTGATGCGCGGCTTATACTATGATCTCCCTGACCAGTGTCCAACAATCAACGTGCCTGTATGTGTGGTCTTTCTCTTTCTCTATGATCATGAAGACGTCGTCCTCGAAGCGCCCGTAACATTTGACCCCGTGCTTCTGGCGAAAGCAATTCAAGGCGACCCTGTGGCGTTCGCTGGTGTTGAAGTACGCACTGTCTGCGACTTCGCCAGAAAAGGCACGGCCCATGCCCGACCCTTGTTTGACTTTCCACATGCGCTCCGGCAACCAGGCGCACTCCATATATTGTGTGTCCATTAAGAACTCCAGAGCACGCTTGCCACTCTTTTTGATATGTGGGTCCGAAGTTATCGAGGACGCCTTGTGGGCCAACACTGCAGGTTGGCCCTCCATGAAGAGATATGTCATGCCAAGTTTGAGGAACATGTTTGTGTCCCCGACAGGGATGTCTCTTATCTGCCGCAAGAGCAGGCCCTAGTCTCGCAAGAGAAACGGTATGCCGCCCAGGGACTTTCGCAATTTTGCTTTGACCCAGTGTCCTTGCGCCCCCGTGAAGAAAAGAGAGGCAGCGTGGATGTTCCTGAAGCTCACTTCTCCTTGTGGCTTGTGCGTCTTGCATGTAAACAATGCACGAAGACATGCGAGGAGCTTTCATGAAGTCGATCGGTCTGCACTCGATTCCGTCTGCGACACACTTGCAGACGTAGAAATATCCTTCTGCAGTATGCCAGGGCTGGTAATCTAAAGGTGGAATTACCTCATACCAGTGGCAACCCAACATCTGCTCTGAAATGTCACGCATGTCTGCTCGATCGACCAAGCAGTAGCCCTCGTCTTTGTCCGTCGGGTTTGGTATACATGGTTTCTCTCAGCAATTTGTTTGCCCACATTTCCAAATTTGTCATACCAGAGTACCATTTGCTTCTGTACCTGTGTTGGCTCATCACAAACCTCGTTCTGAAGGTTACGATCTGACGGAAAACTGTTCCAAGATGCTATGGAAGGATTTGTGGGGTGAAGACACGGTGGGGTGACACCGTCAACGCGCCGTCGCCAACGATGTTGCCCCTGAAGCTCCTGGCCGTCCTTCTTGAAGAAGTGGTGTCTCTAAGAAACCTGATTGGCTAGCTGCTGCATGGCACTCGTGATGATACCGGGGTCAGGGAGGGAGCGAGAGAGCAATCGATGTTTCTTATGGTGTCTGGTGAGGACGAAGACAATCGGCCATGGAATGTCTCCTGAAAGATTTTGGGAAACACTATTGGACTGAGAGGGTTGTATTTGTCAAGTGAGGGGGCTGAACCGAACGGTCATTCACTGTCCCTGGGTGCGTGGCTGAAGTGGAATTCCGCGATGCGGATTCTTGTTCTTGTTGTTGTTGTTGAACTTTCATTTCTGGAGAATAATTATTGTTATCCCCCCCGTCCGGTGCACATTATTTTTTTCGATTGAAGTGCCCTTCCCGGGGCTTGCACCTTGTTTTTTATCAGGGAAAGTCTTGAGGATCAAACTGTGTCGTTGGCCCCCGGTTTACAACAACAACGGCTCCCGCCTGATACTCCCTCACAATTTATGGAAGAATCGCGCTCTCGCTTTGGACTTCCCTGCAATTTACCAGCGGATCGCGGCTCCCGCTTGATACTTCCATATTATTGGAGAATCGCGCTCTCGCTTGGGACTTCCTCGCAACTTACCACCGAATCGCGGCTCCCGCCGGATGCTTCCTTACAATTTATGCAGATGCCGCTCCTCGACACTCAGGAATCGCGCTACCGCTACATATTGCCTGGCGGTTCAAGTAGAATTTACGCTTCAACGACCCGCCCGCTCGACCCGCCCGCCTGGGCCTGCCCGCCCGACCAGCCCGTTAGGGACTGCAGTCGCCGCTCGCTGCCCTTCGCCCGCCTTCGATGCCCCTCGCTGCCCGTACTGGTTCTGCGGTCGCCTTCGCTCGCTGCCCTTCGTGGCCCCGTTGCTGCCCTCAGTGGCCCCGTCGCTGCCCATTGTGGCCCCGCATTATATGCCCTTCGTGGCCCCCGCTCGCAGTCGCCCGTCGTGGCCCCATACGCATGCCCTTCGTAGCCCCGCTGTCGCCCTTCGTGGCCCTCTCGCTGCCCTTCGTGGCCCTTTTGCTGCCCTCAGTGGCCCCGCTGTCGCCCTTCGTGGCCCCATACACGAATGCCCTTCGTGGCCCCCGCTCGTTCGCGCCCGTCGTGGCCCCATATGCATGCCCTTGGTGGCCCCGCTGTCGCCCTTCGTGGCCCCCTCTTTGCCCTTCGTGGCCCCGTTTCTGCCCTCAGTGGCCCCGTCGCTGCCCTGTGGCCCCGGATTAAATGCCCTTCGTGGCCTCCGCTCGCTCGCGCCCTTCGTGGTCCCATACGCATGCGTTTCGTCGCCTCGCTGTCGCCATTCGTGGATCCCTCGCTGCCCTTCGTGGCCCACTTTCTGCGCTCAGTGGCCCTGCTGTCGCCCTTTCTAGCCCCATGTACGTATGCCCTTCGTGGCCCCCGCTCGTTCGCGCCCGTCGTGATCCCATATGCATGCCCTTCGTGTCCCCGCTGTGGCTCTTCGTGGCCCCTCTCTGCCCTTCGTGGCCCCGTTTCTGCCCTCAGCGGCTCCGTCGCTGCCCTCTGGGGCTCAGGGGCCCCCGCTCGTTCGCGCCCGTCGTGGCCCGCGCCAGCAACGGCTCCCGCCTGATACTTCCTTACAACTTGTTGAAGAGTCGCGCTCTCGCTTGGGACTTCCATGCAATTTACCACCGCATCGCGGCTCCCGCCTGATACTTCCTCACCGTTTATTGGAGAATCGCGCTCTCGCTTTGGACTTCTTCGCAACCTTACGCATGTCCTTCGTAGCCCCGCTGTCGCCCTTCGTGGCCCTCTCGCTGCCCTTCGTGGCCCCTTTGCTGCCCTCAGTGGCCCTGCTGTCGCCCTTTGTGGCCCCATATACGAATGCCCTACGTGGCCCCCGCTCGCTCGCGCCAGTCGTGGCCCCATATGCATGCCTTTCGTGGCCCCGCTAACGCCCTCGCTGCCCATCGTGGCCCCGGTGCTACCATCAGCGGGCTCGTCGCTGCCCTTCGTGGCCCCGGATTAAATGCCCTTCGTGGCCCCGCTAGCGCTTTCGCTGCCCTTAGTGGCCCCGGATTAAATGCCTTTCGTGGCCCCCGCTCGCTCGCGCCTTTCGTGGCCCCATATGCATGCCCGCGCTCCTCTCGACACGGTTGCAGTTCCCACTATCCTTCCGCACCACTCTCCCAACATCCCGCTTCTTTTCCGGGTTCCACGAACTTTGTGTTTGACACCAGTTCGCAGCTGTACGTCCCCCCCTGGGTGTATCCACGCTATGTGTTTTTTTTTGTTTTATTATTATTTTCAAGGGGGTGGTACGTGGCGCTGTTTATGGCGCGACCCATGGCGAAAGTTCTTGCTAACCTGCGTTGGAGTGGCTGGCGCAAGCCGTGAAGCATCGTCC